TTTCCCATCTTCCCCCAGGGATCGGAAGTTCCCAGAGGGCGTCTGTAGCCTGGTGAGGCCAGCAGTTAGTGTCCAATTAAACTTCATTGGGATCCATCAGGAAGCTCAATTAAATGTGTTTGATACATCAGAGAGGCGTTAACCAGGCGCAGAGGACCACACTTCCTCATCCTGCCTCTACTTTCCTACTAAACATCCCTTTTCTGGGGAACGGCAATCAGCAATCTAAACCACGCTGGTTCCATCTCATACTTTCAACGTCAAGTACAGGGTGTTCTTGCTTCGGATGTTTCTGAACCAGTGATCCTCGAACTTCCTAATGCTGAGACCCTTTAATACAGTTCCTCGTGTTGTGGTGACCCCAACCATAAAGTTATTTTCGCTGCTACTTCATAGGTGTAATTTTGCTACTGTCATGAATGGTAATGTAAATATTTTTTGAGATAGAGGTTTGCCGAAGGGATTGTGACCCATGGGCTGAGAACCACTGTTAACCTCAGAGAATCCACACATTGGCACGCACGACTCAGGATACAGAGGAGTCTGTGTGGAGGCACACATTAGCATACGCCCTTGCCCCCAGCTGCACAAGCCCAGGCCGCGGTCAGCTGTTCCGGGACTCAAGGATTTCCCAGGAACTGAGCACAAATGGGACCAGCTGATGGATTCCTAAGCAAGGGCCCCTCCCCACAGCTGCAGCTCCCACGTAGCTTTCTCCTGAGAAAAGTCTTGGCTTAAAAAGAACCCTGGGCTTTGAAGGATCAGCTGCCGCGAAGAGTGCCCGGCGTACAATTGAGCCCTCTAGTGGACGAGACGAGAAGCTAAAAATCCCACTTCGCCAACAATTTCAACTATCTAAAGACTTTTTTTTTGCCTGTGGGTCACAGGGTTTGTTTTTTTTTTTTTCCTCAAGTGCTGTCCACCTTGCTTTTGAGACACATCCCCCTCCCCCACTAGTCGGGAACTCACCAAGTAGGTTACTCCAGAGGCCAGTGAACTCTAGGGACCTGCCTGCCTGTCACGTGCCACCACGTCCAGCTTTTACTTGGGTTGTGGGATCAGACAGAGGTCCTTGGGTTCACCAAGTGCGTTGCCAACTCAGCTATCTCTCAGCACTAAGGCCTTCTTGACCACAGATTTCACGGGCCGGCCCTAATCCTCATGGAATCCAGAGATGGCCACAGAGATTCAGGCCTGTCCAGGAGAGGCTGAGACCTCATCTCAAGCATGCCTGTGTCGTCTGGTGTCAACTAGTCAGTGGCTAGGCAGGCCCAAGGTTGGGGGAGCAGGGGGTGGCTGGGAAGTTGGCGTGAAATGTTCCAACTTCCTGGAATCTGTATTCCCCTGAGCCCCAACGGCAGCCAGCAGGCTAGTCACGGGAGCCTACACCCTGCAGTCAATAATGACATCAACAGAGGAAGAGGCCACCTCAGGGCGGTGTGTTACCGGAATAAGACCAGATGAAGGTGCTTGCGGGAGGGTTTGCACTGCAGCTCAGGCCACCCTGCCTCGTGACTGCCTCTCCACTAGACATTTCCCTGCTCTGGGCCAACTTCTGCCTAAGGAATCCCCGAGGACACTCAGTGTGGTGGCTGAGGCATGACCACGAGTTTGAGGCCAGCCTGGACTACAGTGTGTTCTTGTCTTAGAAAACCCAGCAGGATAGTCTGGAGGCTGTGCCCGTAATCCCAGCAGTGGGGAGGGTGTGGCAGGATGGTGGGGAGTTCGGCCTGGACTAAGTCGTCCAGAACTGAATGTGAGATCCTGTCTCAGAAGCCCCGCCCAGTGAACTCGCCTGCAGCATCCCTTCCTTGGCTAACTGGAAGGACCCTGGGCTGAGTAGCTCCACCCATCAGCCTTCCCAAGGGTGTCGATCAGACACCATCAGACACCGTGCTCAGAGGGGCCTAGGAGCTGACATTTGAGTAAATTGGCAAACCAGGATGGCACTGGCCACCTGAGGACCAGTTGCCCAGCCAAGTTCTGGGGGCCATGGAGCCACCATGAAGACGCCACATTCTGTGGGGAGGAAGGACACCCCGCACTAGGATGAGTCAGGGACACGCCACCAAAACAGTCTACTCCAGAAAGATCAGCACAAACTATTTTTTCCAGTGAACATTGCATCTTGACACGTTAATTTAGGCAGCAAACAGTCTTTTTCTAGCGACAGCACGTAGCCAACGGGATGCTTTAGTGAGAGCCAAATGCGAACACTGAGGCCATGCCAGGGTCTGCAGCTACCGCAGCTCCGTCTCGGAAGCACTGGGCTCCTTCATGGGAGGGACCCACTGTCACATCCCTGTATCCGGGCTCTCCAGGTCCACAGGGAGGGGACATGCTCAGGCCCACACGGCAGGCTGGTGCCAGAGCTGGGACACGAAGAGAGACCCGGTGTTTGTGCCTCCATGCTGAGCCCTTCCTAGGTCACCTAAAGGGCTGCAGGACACCAGAAACGCCCATGATGCCTCCACCTTAGCTTTAAGTCCTTCATGTTGGTTGGTTGCAAAAGCTGAAAACCTTACAGCTGGGTAGGTCTCAGGAGTTAGCTGGATAATGGGAAAAGACTGCCAACAGGCCCAGGCCCAGCAAGCTGATCTTCCACACCGGGCAAACAGCCGGAGCAGTGTGGAGACAAGCCACAATGGCTTTGTTCCTGTAAACAACCAAACTCTCCACTGCCAGCAGCGTACCCAGTCTGTGACACGGCCCCCTAGACGAGCAATCGGGCAGAAGTGGGGACAACGGTAGTTCTAATCCTGTTGGACACTGGGCCAGAGGAAACACAAAAGGATGACCCCCAGATGCCATGACCCTGACCCTACAGAAAATACAGGGTCCCCACCACCTACCTGCAAGGTAGGACAACAAGAAATACCCACACGCACATACTTTAAAGAAAAAGAGGCACACCAGTGGGTTTCAGTAACCCCAGGGCACACGGGGGGGGGGGGGGGGGGGGGGGGGGGGGCAGATCCCAGAACAGCCACTGTCGGTCTGCTAACTCCTACGGAGAGGAGCGCCCAGAAGGGCGTGGATCCCAGGGACCTCACACCTTACTTTCCTGGACGACACTGTGCCCCTAGCACCTACACTCCCTATAAAACTTTTAGCTGTGTGCTTTGTACCCCCAACAGCTGGGAACAGGGCCACTTAACACGCGTTGGCCAAACAAACCCACACTGGACACAGAAACTGGGCGGTGGTGGTGCACGCCTTTCATCCCAGCACCTGGGAGGCAGTGGCAGGTGGATTGAGTACCAGGCCGGTCAGCTTCACAGCGAGACACTGTCAGACAAGCAATCCAAACAGAGTGTGGCCAAACTCCATTTATTTAGAGTCACCACACAAAGCAGTCTTCAGCTGGCGAGCACCACGCCAGAGTCAAACCCACAGGTTCAGGGGCACGCAGCAGGCCCAGGTTCTCACTCAGTGCACACAATAATCTTCCAGTCGGATGTCCTGAAACAAGAAAGCAGATGCCATCAGACTTCACCCCACAGGACACCGCCTCACCCCAGGGGGGTGTACCAGGTGCCAAGGCTTCCACTGGCACCCAGGGCTGGCCACTCCCCAGGTCAGTGACCCCCGTGCTTCTGCTCCTCAGGGTTAACTGTGGGCCTTCCTGGGGATCCTGCGGGTCGACAGCCATGAGCAGGGCCTCTGATGACAAAGGACCCTGTGGTTTCATCCCAGTTTTGACTTTCCTCCTCCGTTCCATCCCTGTCCTCAGTGCTTGTACTTCCTGTCAGGACCACAGTCCTGGCGCGTCCTCACGTGTGGTCTTTCTGCTGCCGTACACTATTTATTGATGTCCACTTGGACATCTGAGGTCTATGGGACTCAGACATACTAAGCACATGCTCCACCACCGAGCCACACCCCAGCGAGGCCCACAAGGCCCTTGAAAACACGAAGCATGCCTTAGCTACGGCAGATTCCTGTCACCAAGCTTTCGGAGGTGTGCCAGACCTGGGAACTCCAACATGGTGACCACTGGTCCCATGTAGCTATGTAAAATACAAATTCTAGTCCCTCAACCACACTACAAAGACAGCCACGGGAGGCCTGTGGTTGCCCGGGAGTCTGGGTGAAATTTTTTTTTTTTTTTTGATTTTCGAGACAGGGTTTCTCTGTAGCTTTTGGTTCCTGTCCTAGAACTAGCTCTTCTAGGCCAGGCTGGCCTCGAACTCACAGAGATCTGCCTGCCTCTGCCTCCCAGAGTGCTGGGATTAAAGGCGTGCACCACCACCGCCCGGCTTTGGGTGAAATATTTCTATCATCAGAATTTGTCTGGTTGTACTGCGTCTTATACAGTAATGTCTGAACTCACACATGTACACGTCTTTTTGTTTAAACTTGACATGGAGCGGAGCATGTATCCAGTAAGTAGAGTACTTGCCTAGCACGTAAAAAGCCTTGCGTTTGCAGGGTGGTGGCGCACGCCTTTAATCCCAGCACTTGGGAGGCAGAGGCAGGCGGATCTCTGGGAGTTCGAGGCCAGCCTGGTCTACAAGAGCTAGTTCCAGGACAGGCTCCAAAAACTACAGAGAAACCCTGTGTGTGTGTGGTGGGGGAGCCCTGGGTTTGATCCCCAGCACATGAACCAGGTGTGGTAGAGGGTGCCTGCAACCCAACAATCTGGGTGTGGAGGAGGGAAGATCAGAAGTTTAAAGGCTATCCTCGGCTATATAATGAGATCACGGGCAGCCTGGGTTAAATGAGACCCTATCTTAGAGGGTAGGATGCTATCGCTGGAGGGCTGGCTCAACAGTTAAGAGCACTTGCTGCTTCCACAGAGGACCTAGGTTCAGTTCTACACTGGGGCTCACATCTGTAATCCCACTTCCAGGGGATCTGGTAAGCCTCCTTTAACCTCTGAGGGCGCCGGGCAAACATTCATACATGTTAAAAAGCGCAATCTATAAGAAGGGCTGGAACAATGGATCACATCTTTACTTTTGAAGGAAATAAGCGACATCCGACGGCGCTAGCAAGGGTCCTGTTTGCAGTATCATACATGATCACCAAACTGCTGCTAGGGTGCTCACACCTGTTACTGCAAATTCCAACCCCAGGAAACGCGTTCCTCTGGGGATTTTCTTTAGGTCAAGGTCGGGCTGTCTGGTACAAGGCTGCACCCACCTCAGGCAGGTTCAGCCACACAGGAGCCTTTCCCCAGACCGTCCAGTTCAGGACACTGGAGCTGCGGGGCTGACATACCTGGGTCACCCACGCTGAGGTCACCTGAAACTCCTCGGAGGAGAAAGGCGTTACTGCGTGATTTCTTCCAGTCTCGGGGGCCGGATAGTTCGCTTTCTAGGTGGGGAAAAAGAGGCATACAACTGAGTTTAAGTGGATGGCCTCGTGTGTGTGTGTGGCACACCGGAGACGCCCTGCCACCCGCCGCCCATCCCGCGGCCGCCAGCGCGCCCAGCCAGGGTCAGGCTCCTCCCGGAAGCGGCTTCCGCAGACGGAGCGGCTTCTCGAGCCCCGGGAGGGATTTCTGGAGCCCCGACTGCAGGATCCACGGCGCCTCCACGCCGCGACACAGAGATTAGCTTCCCCTCGATACGAAGTGCGCGGGTTCCTCTCCCCCGGCGGAAGCAGCTCCCCAAACTACTTCCGACCGGAAGTGAAGACTTACCATCGAGACTGCTGCTAGAGGGTCGCTCTGGCCTTTTGGTCATCCAAAGACGCCTTAAAGGGGCCGCGCGGTCCAACCGGGGTCCCAACAGCTAGAGACCCCGAGGCTGCTGGGCCTTGTCTAGAGGGGCACAAGCGGGAGGGACGTCCTACCCGTGGGCACCAGGAGCTGGCCGCTGTCCCTTTACTTCTCACTCAGCCCTGTACAGGACATTGGACCGATGGTGCATTCCTAAAAGCTGAAGTTCCCGAGCGGTCAAGTAGTTTTCTCTGAACTCTGCAAACCATCCCGGGTGTGGCAAACCGGGTTGAATCCCAGCCGATCCTGCTGCAAACCTGTAACCCTCCATCACAGCATGAACCCCTCATTGGGATCAATTGACCGTCCATGAAGTCAGCACCCTCCCTCCTGCTACGATGACTCCCCAAAAGTCGCACCTCTGAAACAGGACTGGATCTGGAAACAAGCCTTCAACAGGGGGCGGACGGGGATGTGTGCAGTCAGTCTGTCTGTGCAGGGACACCTTCTTTCCAGGAATTCTCTTTCACAGTCGCATGGAGCCCAGGCTGGCCTGGAACGTCATAGGTAGTTGAGGATGACTTTGAACTCCTGATTCTCCTGCCTCTGCGTCCCAGTGCTGGGATTTCAAGTGTTGTAGCATCCTATCTGGCTGCTGTTGATTCTTGGTATGAGTCTAGCCATCGGATAGTCTTGAAGACACTTGGAAACTATTGTGAGAGAAAGTCCGGGAGGTTTCCAGTACAGCCCACCCCCCTCCTCTGCCCTATTCTTTTAGTCTCGTCTGCTCCTCACTTAGCTTTGGTTGTCTGGTTTTGCTGCTGGAACAACTTTGTTTGGTTTTTCTCCAGTTATCAGCTCACTTGATCATTAAAAATGTGATTAGGACAAGTTCAGCAGCACTAACAGGTTTGGGAACAGTGGCTTTCGGCGGCTGGCATCGGCCCCTTTGTGATGGGAGTGGAAGTTGGGTCCCCGCGAGGAGTCTCCAGTCCCCTGTGTCCTTAGGCTAGGAACACACCAGTCAGTGAGCGCCACTTGAGGGACGGGCTTCCCACCCTGTGTTGCCCAGGCTGGCTCAAACGATTCTCCTGTCTGAACCTCCCAGGTCACGGGCTACAGGTGCCCTGTGATGGCGACATGTGGATCAGCTGATCTGTTTCTGCCACTTGGAGGCAGAGAAGGAAAGTTCCCAACGTTAGCAGGGCCGGGCAAGCTTAAGCGGAGAAAGCCGCAGAACACAAGGTGCATTCCACGGCCCCGTGTGCCCCCTGGTGGTGCATCTAAGAAGTGCAGCCTGTCAGACCGTACCTTAAAAAAAAAAAAAAAAAAAAAACCGGCTCGCCACATCTCACAGCAAAGCATTAAATTAGCCCATGGAGAGGTGTGTGAGGACGAAGAGTGTGTGGACTTTCCCAGCTTAGAGAGAGAGGGAAATGTTTGACGACATCCAGCTACTGGGTTTGAAAGTGGAGGAAGGAGCCACAGAGCAAGGAGCGCTGGCAGCCCAGAGAGGCTAAAAGCGGCGACCAGAGGGGCAACCAACACCTGCTTGATCACAACTAGCTACGAGGGAGTTGGCAAGTTGAGCCTTTTAACTGGGGACTCTGTCCAGATGAAATCAGGCTAGAGACACCCCAAAAGCAATGGCAAGAGAGTGGCCTTAAAATATCCTGACGGCGGGCAGTGGTGGCGCACGCCTTTAATCCCAGCACTCGGGAGGCAGAGGCAGATGGATCTCTGTGAGTTCGAGGCCAACCTGGTCTACAAGAGCTAGTTCCAGGACAGGCTCCAAAGCTGCAGAGAAACCCTGTCTCGAAAAAACAAACAAACAAAAAAAAAATATCCTGACGGGGTCAGCGGGAACTCCCAAAAAAAGAGCCCTAAGTGCCAGGGTAGATCAACCAAATCACTATGAGGGGAGCTGACATAGGAACCTTGTGTTAGTTGGGGTTCTCAAAGGGAGAGCAGAGAATGGGTCTCTATGTATCAAAAGGGAGCTTGATTACAGTGGCCTAGAGGCTGTGGTCCAGCTGGTCCCACAATGGCTGCTTCCCGATGGAAAGGCCAAGAGTCCAATGGTTCAGTCCATGAGGCTGGATATGTATCTCAGCTGGTCGTCAGCACACACCGGAATCCTGAAGGCGCAGGTTCTAACACCGGCACAGGAAAGCCTTGGCAGCAGGATAGATGAACTTGCTGGGGAGAATGAGGACAAGCAGGCAAAAAGCAAGAGCTTCCTTCGTCCACGTCATTCTATGTGGGCTGCCACCAGGTGTGGCCCAGGGTTAGGGTGGGTCTTCTCGCCTCAAATAGGCTAAGCAAAAACTCCCTCACAGGTGCAGCTGGCTGCTTGGGTTTTAGCTGACTTCAGCTGCAGTCCAGTTGGTCCTAGGAAGAAGCATCCTGTCCAGGTGTGCCCATGAGCAGTGGAAAGGCTGGAGAGTTTACATAGGAGTTTGAGGGATTTAGGTTGGTGGTGTGGCTCACACGCAAGGTGGTGGGTTCATTCATAAACCCTGCAGAAATGAGTTCCTATTTCCAGAAGGGGAGGGGCTGCTGCAGGTGTCTGTGTCTCTACTGCAGATGCAGGATGCACAGGGGAGGCTGCGGGGTGCCCTGCAGTGGCGGAGCACTATCTGCAGGAGGGGGGATGGGTGCTTCTTTGGAATGTCGCTACTGTGTGTACTGAGGACGTGCACAGGGCAGGATTTGGGCCTCGTGGGCTCAGTTACTGATCTTGAATCCTCACTGCTTGGCTGTGTAGAGCTTGCACCACTGTGATTAGGGCTCCTTTCCTATTATATTATATTTATTATATTATATATTTATTTATTGTACTGGAATAGGACCTGGGGCCTCGGCATTTGAATCAAGCCCTCCTGTGCTGAGCTGCATCCCTAGACCTTCTGCCCAATTTTAAAACAAAATATCCGAGTAGGTGGATGAGATGGCCCTGCAGGAAAAGGTGCTTGTTGCCAAGACTAACGACTGGAGTCTGATCTCCTTTGACAGGGAGCTGTCTGGGTCCTTTCCCATTGCTATGGCTTGAATGTGAAAAGTCCCGTGCAGGCTTGTGGTTTTAATGCTTGGTCTCCAAACACTGGTTCAATTTTAGGTTCTAAAAATTTTGGGAGGTGGGACCTTACTGGAAGAAGTAGGTTACAGGGGGCAGTTCTCTGTCCCAGCCACTCCCCTTCATCCTCTGCTTCCTGCTGGCTAGGATGTGCTAATCCTTGGGAGAAGGAAGCCAGAAGGAGGAGGAAGCTCTGAGCCCCAGGTCTCTGTGGAAGCAGCAGCTGAGCACTTTCTTTCACGCAATTCCTTTCCAACAGACTCTAACTTTCCCAACAACACAATTCCTGTCTGCAAAGAACCTCCAGATCTGTGCCTGGAGCCCCCCATAGGGTTTGTTCAGGGAGGTCCTGGGGGAGCAGAGGGAGGCCAGAGAAGGGAGCCTGGAAGGAAGGGGGCCTGAACCAGGTCCTAGGGAAAGTGGGAGGGGTTTTCCCAGGTAGCAGGAAACCACTGAGGAAGCCCAGCAAGGTGCCCAGGGGACTGACAGAGGGAATGAGGAAGGGGCTAAGGGCTAGAGACAGTCAGGGCCTGGAGAGCCAGTAGCTTCCATTTGAGAAGGCAACATAGAGGAATTTTGCTAGACAGAGACATGGTCATTATGTTCTCTTTAAATATTTTTAGATTTATCTAGTCATTTATTTTTGAGATAGGGCCTCATTATGTAGTTTTGCCTGTCCTGGAACTATGTAGACCAGACTGGGCTTGAACTCAAAGAACTCTTATCTGCCTCTGCCTACCAAGTGTTGGGATTAAAGGCATGCACCACTACTGCCAACTTAGATTTATTTGTTTATATGTATGTGTGTGTACGTGTACCACTCGTGTGCAGTACCCATGGGGGCCAGAAGAGGGCGTCAGGTCTCCTGGCACTGCAGTTACAGGTGATTGTAAGCAGTGATGTGGGTGCTGGGAACCGAATCCGGGTCCCTCTGGAAAAGCAGCTAGTGCTCTTAACTCCTGAGCCATCTCTCCATATTAGGTCCTCTTTAGAAAAACCACACTCCCTCCTTTGGAAGAATTAACTCAGGAAGGATCTCAGCCAATCAGAGCCTCACGTGCCCAGGCCTGAGCCAATTAGAGCAAGACATACCTTGGAAGACCTGATAGTTTCAAGAGAGATCATGTGCCCCAGAAAGGTTGCCTGGGAGGAAAGCAAGTACTTTTTCTGTTTCCCGGATCAGTGGTTCTCCTGCCCACCTTTTATTGCTGCTTTGGGCGAGAGAAGAGGCATGTAGCTTTGGGTTTTTTTTTTTTTTTCAGCCATCCCTAATGGAATAGTCCTGCTAGATAAAATATAGGAAGCTCAATTAAATCTGCATTTCAGATAAACAATCACGGGTGGGGTGACATTTGCGTGTGTGTTTACATTAATCACGGGTGGGGTGACATTTGCATGTGTGTTTACATTAATCATGAGTGAGGTGACATTTGCATGTGTGTTTAC